CGGTCTGCATCGTGCTCTCGGACGACACCTGCCCTGACGAGAAGATCCGCATGAACCGTGTGGTGCGCAACAACCTGTGCGTCCATCTGTCCGATGTGGTGTCGGTACAGTCCTGTCCGGACGTGAAGTACGGCAAGAGGGTGCGCATCCTGCCCATTGACGACACCACCGAAGGCGTCACCGGCAACTTGTTCGAGATCTATCTGAAGCCGTACTTTCTGGAGGCCTACCGGCCAATCCATATGGGCGACAACTTCATCGTGCGTGCCGCCATGCGTCCGATCGAGTTCAAGGTGGTGCTGACCGACCCGGAGCCCTACTGTATCGTGGCCCCCGAGACGGTGATCTTCTGCGACGGCGATCCGATCAAGCGCGAGGAGGAGGAGGAGTCGCTGAATGCCGTGGGCTACGACGACATCGGCGGCTGCCGCAAGCAGCTGGCCCAGATCAAGGAGATGGTGGAGCTGCCTCTCCGCCATCCGTCGCTCTTCAAGGCCATCGGTGTGAAGCCACCGCGTGGAATCCTGATGTACGGACCCCCCGGTACGGGTAAGACCCTGATTGCCAGGGCCGTGGCCAATGAGACCGGAGCTTTCTTCTTCCTGATCAATGGACCGGAAATTATGTCCAAGCTGGCCGGAGAGTCCGAGTCCAATCTGCGCAAGGCCTTCGAGGAGGCCGAGAAGAACTCGCCGGCTATCATTTTCATCGATGAGATCGACGCCATCGCCCCCAAGCGTGACAAGACCCACGGTGAGGTAGAGCGTCGTATTGTCTCGCAGCTTTTGACCCTTATGGATGGCATGAAGAAGAGCTCCCATCTGATCGTGATGGCGGCCACCAACAGGCCCAATTCCATTGACCCGGCCCTGCGTCGCTTTGGACGTTTCGATCGTGAGATTGACATCGGCATTCCGGATGCCACTGGACGCTTGGAGGTGCTGCGCATCCACACCAAGAACATGAAGCTGCACGATGACGTGGACTTGGAGCAGATTGCCGCCGAGACCCACGGACACGTTGGCGCCGATCTGGCCTCACTGTGCTCGGAGGCTGCCCTTCAGCAAATCCGTGAGAAGATGGACCTCATCGATTTGGAGGACGACAAGATCGATGCCGAGGTTCTGGCCTCGCTGGCCGTTACCATGGAGAACTTCCGCTACGCCATGACCAAGTCCAGTCCATCGGCGCTGCGCGAGACGGTTGTGGAGGTGCCCAACACCACCTGGACGGACATTGGAGGCCTCGAGAGCGTGAAGAAGGAACTGCAGGAGCTGGTGCAGTACCCGGTGGAGCATCCAGACAAGTTCCTGAAGTTCGGAATGCAGCCCAGTCGCGGAGTCCTGTTCTACGGACCCCCCGGTTGCGGTAAGACGCTGCTGGCCAAGGCCATTGCCAACGAGTGCCAGGCCAACTTCATCTCAGTCAAAGGCCCCGAGCTGCTGACCATGTGGTTCGGCGAGTCGGAGGCCAATGTGCGCGACATCTTCGACAAGGCCCGGTCGGCGGCTCCTTGTGTGCTCTTCTTCGACGAGCTGGACTCGATCGCCAAGGCCCGTGGTGGCAATGTGGGCGATGCTGGCGGCGCCGCCGATCGTGTGATCAACCAGATCCTGACCGAGATGGATGGCATGGGAGCCAAGAAGAACGTGTTCATCATCGGAGCCACCAATCGCCCGGACATCATCGATCCGGCTATTCTGCGTCCGGGCCGTCTGGATCAGTTGATCTATATTCCGCTGCCCGACGACAAGTCGCGTGAGGCTATCCTGAAGGCCAACTTGCGCAAATCGCCGCTGGCCAAGGAGGTGGACCTCACCTACATCGCCAAGGTGACGCAGGGCTTCTCGGGCGCTGATCTGACTGAGATCTGCCAGCGGGCCTGCAAGCTGGCCATCCGACAGGCTATCGAGGCTGAAATCCGCCGCGAAAAGGAGCGCGCCGAGAACCAGAATTCGGCGATGGACGTAAGTCACCTTTGTTAGCTCTCAAAAAGAATATTTATTTTTGACTATTTTCCCTATACCAGATGGACGAGGACGATCCAGTGCCGGAGATCACCAGCGCCCACTTCGAGGAGGCCATGAAGTTTGCTCGTCGCTCGGTGTCCGACAATGACATCAGGAAATACGAGATGTTTGCCCAGACTTTGCAGCAGTCCCGTGGTTTCGGACAGAACTTCAGGTGAGAATTAAAATGGAGCCTTCTGTTCGGTACAGATTTCTTATTGATCCTTATGTCCCAACAGATTCCCCGGTCAAACCGGCAACACCTCAGGAACTGGCAGCAACTTGCCAGTTAACTCGCCAGGAGACAACGGCGATGATGATCTTTACAGTTAGATTTCTAGTTTTACACTGCAAAAAAACACAAAAAAAGAAACTTTTTAAATGAATTTTTCCCTGTAAAACCGAGCAAGCAAACCAATCACATTCGCATCCTGGAGGCGGTAACTACAGCAACCACTGGCTAAGACATCCAGCCGACAGCGGAATCAGATTACATACCTAATTACAATAATCACTCTTTTTGATACCATCCTTGGTCTTGGTCACGGATCGTGCTGCAAGATAATATTCTAATTTGGATCTAGGCCAGCCTAATCCAAAAACATTTTAATTGGCGACCAAATCCGCCCCACACACTTATCATTCGTGCATTGTCGGTAGAGTGGCTCCGATATATGAGTTTCTATAAACATAATTATAAACGATACACATACACACATACATTTAACGATAAATACATATATTAAACACCGTAAAATTATAAGTGTATTTGGAGCTACGTTTTTAAGTGAATAAAAATTATAAATTCAATAAAATCATATGTTTATTTGGTTAGGGGAAATGAAAATTTGACCAACAAGGTTTTTATGAGCTCAATACAAATTTTTAAATTGGGTTAATAATCAAAACTGTAAATTATAAATCAAGTCTATTAGAAAACCTTTTTTCCAAGTTCTAGTATTTTGATCTGGTCAGGCTTTTAAGATTTTGAAGTTGCAATTATTTTATAAAAGTATCCCAGATTGAATATGAAGTTCAGACCACCACCAACAACTATAAATAAATACACATGTTTTTGTTTTATCGCATTTATTAAACTTGTATTCATTCGTCATGTTTGCTTTTCTTGTTTTTATTTTATTTTTTGCTTTTTATTTTCATGAATGCTTTGCGACATAACAAGGACATCTTAATATGAAGTTAGTTGAATTCTTTCATATTTTAATAATCATCTTCGCTTCCGTCTTATAAATAAACTTTCTATGCCATTATATTAGCTGCTGGTTATTTAAATCAATGTTTTGGCATCAGTAAATGAAGATAAAGAAAACAATAATAATTTTGTTAATGGCAAAAAGCAGGAAACTTCAAAGTTGATTTGCTTTTTTAATGTGTTACTGCAGCTTCTTCGGCGCTTAATTTAAATCAAGTTTTTGTTTCCTTTTTTTTCAGTGTCTACACCTTCAATTTTTGCAAATATTTTTTGTTTCTTTTGTTAATACATACTCTTTTTTTGTTTTTCTTTTAGTTTGTATTTGTTTTCTCATTTTTATTTTTGTTACACATACATAATTAAATACGCTTTATGCATAATTACAACACAACAGTTAAAATACGAATAGGCTTTACTATTTTTATTTAATGTTTCCTTTTCTCAGTGACATTAATTTGAAATTTGCGCGTTAAGAGCTTGTCATCGGTGAATTTAACATTTTTTAAATATTTTTTTGAGCTTTGCTTGATGAATATTTTCATTATGGCTTGTGTGTGCGTGTGTGTACCTTGTGTGTGGGTGTGTGGGTGAATTGGCTCGTGTGTGTGCGTGTTGTTGTTGTTGTAATTGGTATGTGGAAGAAAATGGCCAGCACTTTCTGCATCTTAATTAATTTCTATAATTTTACTCGCTTGATATATAGTTATTATTTATGTTTTTCTTGAACTCTTTCCTCACTTTCTTTTTGTTTCGAAAATTTCCAAGAATTTGTTGCTTTAAAGTCTTGAACATAGACTAGACACCAATTAAGATTAAAAACATACTTTTATATATTTTAGTTTTATTATTTCTTGCTGACAATTTGAACAACTTGTAGCAATTTTACATATATGATATTTTCGGTTTCTTTTATATGTAGTTTCTTTTAGCTTTGAACACCTGTCGACTGTTGGTATGCCAGTTGAATTGATTTAATTTAATATTATACCTACATATGCAAGTTCATTGATTATCCCTCTAAGATTTGTTTAGTTACGCTGTTTGTTCAAAACAATACGGTTACACTCATATAAAGTAGTTGGAGTCGTTTAGATTTAGGTTTAGGTGTAGGTTTAGGCTTTACCATAGTTTAAGCTCATTCAGTTATATAAATATAGATATAGGTTTAGGTATAGGGTAGTACAGGTATTGAACAGCAACAAAAACAGGGATATACTAAGTACACATTGTCCAGGCCGTCGGTATTGCTTTGATTCGTTTTCGCTATGGCCCGAAAATAAAAGATATACATATGTATACATATATATATATATGTATATTAAAGCGGTTTAAGCAAATGTCACCCATGTGCACACAACTTTTCCCCATTCTCTTTTCCCCGCGCTCTCTGCTAAATTTCGTATTTTTCGCTAGTTTTTCTCAAAGTTTTCTAAGTTGATCCCATGCAACATATTGATTGTGCCTTTAGCATTACTTATTTGTTTTCTTTTCCCACCGAGAACTGAATAACAATAACATCCTCGTGTGCCTATAGTGAGATCGCATTGGGAAGTGGAAAACCTACAATTCGGGGACTGGCTAATCTGATATCTTTCCCTACTCTCCGATGGCCGAAACACCTGTCCAGCTGCTTCATGTATAGACTAGTACATACATTTATTGGTTGTTAGTTGTTAGTTTGGGGTTTCCCTAGGCGAATACTTTTCGATTTTTGGGTAAGTATCTCTCGGATACACATATGTGGGGAAACTCTTTGCGAAAGTGTCAGTGTGTGTGTGTGTGTGTTCAATTTGCTCTTATTTGATATATTTTTGTTTTGCTTTCTTTTCGCTTATCAGTTATTTAGCAGCCAATGAAACAAGTGTTTGCGTTACTTTCTAAATTATGAATAAATCAATGGATAACAAAAAGGTATGAATAAACAAAACTTAAATTAGTATTTTTAACATTCCCGTTGAGCCAATCGTTTTTTTGTTTCTATTTGCTGATTGCATTTGAATTCATTTTCGCCCAATTAAATACATTACAAATTACAATTGCTAAATACATACAATACAATTCTTAACTCGCTTGTTTGCTTTTATGTTTTAGATTAGAAACATTGCTAAGCTTCTCCCCATCATGATCAACATTATCATTATCATCATTATTATTATCGTAGTATTATAGATTAATTTCAATTATCAAATATTCATGATTAAGTTTAAATGATTTGTGTGTCCTTGTGTTTTTGTTTGGTATTTGTGCTTTCTTGTGGGTTGTGTTTATGCTCTTATTTTGCTGTCTGTAGTATTGCTCAATTTGAAAGAAACATGGTTACAAAATAAAATCCTAAGAAGCCTGCAAGTGACCTTTTTTCAGTTTTAGTTGCTGTTTGTTGTAGCTATTGATGGTGGTTTTTGTTGGTTGGTTGTTCAGACTTTTTATCGTGTATCGGTGATATTGTTTTTGCTGCCAAATATCTTCACCAACTGTGACTCGTAGTCGTCAATGTTGCGCTTCATAATATCCATGCAGGGACCCAGCAAACGCTCAAATGCCTTGACATCGAGGACTAAATTGGAAGAAGATCAGATCATTAGTTAAAGTACAATATGGGAAATCCATTGAACACACTTAATACATGCTGAGGAATAGGGATTTATGGGAAATGGGTTTAGTAATTCTTAATTAAAAACAGTTTAGCATACACAGAACCATATCCATTTGGGCAAGCCATCAAAACTCATTCCTTAATCACCACAGGCCCCTTAATATCATCTACATATCCTTTTCTTACCGATCCATTAACCTTTTAGATGCCTGTGTCAGCTTCAGACATTTCAGATATTTCAAAGTGCTGTGGGTTTTATTTTGGGGATGGTGACGGGGTTCTTTCCCCTAACATATAATCATGTATGCGTGTGTGTCAGAGCAAAACTATATTTTATTACTTAATTTAACTTGAAAGTTATAAATTTTGAAAAGCTTTGTGGTAAATTCGAAAAACTGCATTACACATTCGAGAATTTAGAATATAACTAAAACCTACAAAAATAGAAACATTTCATATTGTTTCCTTCACAAATTCGTATTGCGGCGGGCCATGTCGGTGAACATTTGCTCATAGATCACAATATTGCGCTTGAGTACATCGGTCAGGAAGCCCATGATGCGTTCGAAGGCCTCGGTGTCTAGGACTGGACGGAGTTTCGATTTAAAGACAAGTATAAAATAAAATCTTAAAGCCCATTTTCATGACCTCATTGTATAGCATGCAGGCATACAACTTGTGTAAAATATAATTCAACAAAACTTACATGGATAGGTGATTTTTATATAACAAATCGGAACGTGACTTTGAAACGTTTATATTATATCTCTGAAAAGGGTACCAATAGTCATTTGGTTGGCTCACATATGAGGTTTCCCCCAAGTCCAACTCAATTCTTAATTAAACTTAGCAAAATGAGGTCGTGAAAATGGGGTTTAGTCTACGGATAGCACATTAACTACTACTACTACTGCTACTACTACTAATTGAGTTGCAAATAGCCAAAGTATTCGCGCAGATCCTGCTCCAGATAGCGATACCCACTAATGCTACGCTGGATGCCCCCACTGCACTTTCCCATGAGGCGTTCGAAGCAAATAACATCCAAGACTACACACACAACACACAGCACACACACAACATATACGAGGGGTTGGTGGACGGGACAAAGAACAAATAAACAAAAGCATTAGGGATTAGGTCAAGCGGGGCATGGGCTCGAGGAGCAGCTGGGGGATCGACTGGAAAGCTTTCCGTGCAGCCAAGTCATTCCTCCTGGCCAGGACACTCACATGCTAGCTTGACGACTCCGCCCGTGGCATAGACGGAGGCGGCTCGGGGTCGATGTGTCACCAGCGCCAGCTCGCCGAAGTACTGGCCCTTGCCCAGCTGCGAGATCTCCACCTCGGCGTCGTCCTGGTCCATGCGCACGGACACGGTGCCCTCCTCGATGAAGTACATGCCATCGGCGGCGTCACCTGGGGATTGCAGGAAAAATCGTTGCCATTAGACGAATTCCAAAAGAAAACAAGAAAGGAAAGCTAACTTCGGGCGGAGCCGAAGTTGATATACCCTTGCAGAATACTCTGTTATTATATTCTCCAAAATTATTCATATGATGCATTCTTAATACTCATAAAAAATCCCAACTTCCTAACTTTAAAAACACCAAAGTTATGGCATTTCCAATCGTTCAGTTATATGGCAGCTATAAGATATAGTCGGCCGATCCTTATGAAATTTGGTATGTCGGATTGATTGGCCAAAAATAAAACCCATAGAAAATGCCAACTTCTTAACTTTACAAACACCAAAGTTATGGCACTTCCGATCAATCAGTTATATGGCAGCTATAAGATATAGTCGGCCGATCCTTATGAAATTTAGTATGTCGGATTGATTGGCCAAAAATAAAACCCATAGAAAATCCCAACTTCTTATCTTTAAAAACACCAAAGTTATGGCTTTTCCGATCGTTCAGTTATATGGGAGCTATATGATATAGTCGCCCGATCCGGCTCGTTCCGACTTATATACTACCTGCAATAGAAAGACAACTTTTGGGAAAGTTTCAAGCAGATAGCTTTAAAACTGAGGGACTAGTTTGCGTAGAAACGGACGGACAGACGGACAGACGGACAGACGGACAGACGGACAGACGGACAGACGGACGGACAGACGGACGGACAGACGGACAGACGGACATGGCTAGATCGACTCTCCTGGTGATGCTGATCAAGAATATATATACTTTATAGGGTCGGAAATGTCTCCTTCACTGCGTTGCAAACTTTTGACTGAAATTATAATACCCTCTGCAAGGGTATAAAAATAATCCCTTTATAAAGTGCAGTAATAAGAGTAGTTTCTGAGAAGTCTTTTCTTTTTAATATCGAGTTAAAGGATTTTTACCAAAAAGTTGATAAATTTCTAATAACCTTTTTAAAATGTTGTCATACAATACCACTTTATGTGATAATTGAGAATTAATTAGCTATATTTATGGACTCTTTAATAGTTTATATATTTTGTTCTTAAATAAAATCAATTATTTTGCCTAATCTTTCATTTGTGTTTAATAGAATGGATCAGTAATAATTGAACAGTTTATTTATCCAATACATTACTAAATATACGGTTAAAAAACTAATTCTAATAATGTGAAATTTATAATTTTCATTGTTTAACGAATTATCAACCTAAAGGCTTTCTAATTTCAAATCTCTTAGGGAAATCATTAATTTAAGTGGACAATAAATTGTGTTATGTAAGCTTGACAATTTAAGTTTCTTTATATATTATGAGGCCCCTCACAAAAATTCCAAACTTTAATGGACAGTTGTCTGTATAAAAGCTTCTTTATTCTCCTTAGGCAAGTTCTCCTGTACTTAAAGATTAAGCACTTACCCTGCTTGATGATGCGCTCGCCATTGTCGTAGCTCTTTGAAACCAAAGCATCCGCCAGATTCATGCGTTCGTAGTTCTGAAGCACAAGAGTTAGATATATAAAATCGATTGGGGGAAGAAATGGGATGGGATGGGGGACGACGATGACCCACCTGCAAGGCCTTCAGCATGGGCACGCTGTTCAACAGCTCCTCGTACATTTTCCTCTTCCTGAAGGCCGACTTCAACAGGATGCGTCGGAAGGTCTGGCGATCCATGGCCCAAAGTAGACCACTCGTTTCCGCCTGCACGGTGGCCGCCCTAGATATTTAAGTTGGACATTAGAGACACGTCTAAATATATATAGCCATTAGCACATTGTAATTGTGGTTCAGACAGCGCGGAAAATTTGGCATAATGAATCGATCAAATACGAATACGAATAGGTCGCATACCTGGGCATGTTGTAGAGCAGCGCTAATTCACCGAAAAGTCCAGTGTGATTGTAGGTGTTAATGTGCTTGTCATTAATATAGACTTTGTATACGCCTCTGCGGGAATACGGAAAAATGGAGGGTGTTAGCAGAGCAGAGCAGTACGAAAAATCCACTTTAATTGAATGCAATTTATAATTGAGGAGTGTGCGCTCTCATCAATATGTAAATGCCTATTAATTGACATATCAAACGCTAATTCCCATTCAAATACATATTAATTAAGCCGCAAATAAATGAATGAGGTTCGCTGTTCTGCATGAGTAATTATGCGGTAATACTTCTTTCAGTTCATTCTAAAACGTTTAATGTGGCTAAAAAATATGTGGGAAATTTATTGCTTTACGCTTCGAAGCGTATTATTCTTTATTAAGGGTTTACAAGAGTATTACAAAAATTGTCGGTGTAATTTAATATGTCAATTAAATATAATTTTTTGATAAGAAAATTATTTCTAATTAAGAAGAGATTTTTAAAAAGTATCTAAAGATATTCACATGGTTATTCAAGAATGCAACCTAACTACTCACACACAAGGGTTACATTTATACATAAGAAAGTAATGTATACCACACTAAAGTTATTTTCCTAATTTTGTTTTTTTTAATGCTGTTACTTAGTTTTATTGCTATACTGGTAGATACAAGAGTATATTCAAATGTCAAAAGATACTTATAAGCCTATAAGTTATTAGGATCAAAATTTGTGAAAGTTCATATTTCACTTAACCTTGTATTTATATGTTATGATAATCTAGACAGCCTATTGAAAATCACGAAAAGTTACCCAAACTTCAAGTTAACTTTTGGCTAAACAGAATATGTGCATTATTCATCAAGCTTGATTGGAAATTTGTTTTGTTTTACTTACGATTCAATAACATAAAAGTTATCGCCGTCGTCGCCCTGGCGGATGATATAGTCGCCCGGCTGAACCTTCCGCTCGAACATGGCATCCAGGACTTGGTTCATCTGCGAAAACAAATCAGTTACAAGGGGATGATTTTCCGGGGAAGGGGGGTTTTCAAAGTGGAGGGGGAGCAGGAGCCACCCTGATGGGGGATAATCCCCAGTAAAAGGGAAACCGCAGGCAGACACTTATTCGGGTTAAACGCTGATGCGTGTGTGCTGTGCTACCTCCCTTTTTGCTTTGAGCTCCCCCCGAGACTTATGATTTATGTAGTGAAAGTGGATGAGGATGGGTATGTGGATGAGGATGGGCATGGGGATATAGATGCGTACCTGCTCCTTTTCGAGGGATCGGAAGAGGAGGACGTTCTTCACCGACTCCACCAGTCGGGCCCGCTGTTCGTCTGTCTTGGGGAACACGGCGGTGGCACCATCATCGTCGTCATCCGCCTCCGGATCATAGGCCTCGGCGAAAACTGATTTGCGCCGCGAGCTGGCCATTACTGGTGGTTCCGCTGGAATAATACAAATGGCAATCATAAATCAGGTATTTAAAATCTAAAAATCAATTATAGTTCCGCGAATGCAAAGTCTTCTCTGGAAGATTCGAAAATACCCTGTTATCTAAACGATGCCATCAGATTGGAATTCGCTGCTCTGGCATATCTCCTGCTGGGCCACAATTGCATTTCAAATGAAAATGCAGAGGAACGCTCACATATCACAGAGGCAGCATAATCCAATGCTATTTGGTACCATGTACGGGCAACTCTGAGAGCATGTGCAAAAATGTACTCTGTTTCAGAATTCCACACCGGAAAAAGAATTTATCTGGCTTTAAATGACAATCAATGTCAAAACAATATTGGTTGGACTCAAATTATTGTCACCTAAGACAATCCAAATAAAACATGATAGAAAATAATTGTGACATTACTAAAAATGAATCAACTTTTGTTTGTTTGTAATTGCAGTGTAACTAGTTAAAAATAAATTTATTTTAAAGTCTATTGTATTAGTTACTAAAGGTGTTCTTTTGTTAAAAAACAAATGGAAAAAATTAGTACAATAAAATCTTAATACGCTTGAGAATAAAATAAAATATTGAACGTAATTTTTAAAATTCAACTAAATTATAGTCGTGCTTTTTCTTTCTGTGTAACAGTCTTAAAGCCATCTCGTAGATTGCGTTTCCGACAATTAAAATTGCATAAGTATGAGGCGTTGTCCAGCTGAGATTTGCATCCGAGAATATTTGTCAGAAAAGCGAGATAAACAAGTCTCATCTTTTCTTTTCCAGCTCTGCGACAGATATTTAAATGTTTATTCGGGTTCACATGACCGCAAAATCAATTGCTGTAATTATACATTCAACCCGAAACACAACACCTTAAGTGAGCATGTTTTTTGTTGTCTAGTCGTACGTATACATATGTTTTATTTTTGGTCAACGAAATTTGGTTTTTGCTCTAACCAAGCAAAGCTCAACTCACCAGCCAATAAATTACCAGACACCTGAGTGGACATTTTCAATTGCAGCGCCGCCTTTTTTTGTGCGTGATTCCGAATTTAGTTACGATTTCAAATCGGTTGCAACGAGCGCGAAAATAAAAACCAGTTAGGCATGAACACGTTTAAAAATAACTAGAAAAAAAAGTGTGTGTATAAATTTTGATGGGTGTATATGTAACCCAAGGTGAGTGTTGTTGTAGAGAGGCACAAAAAACAACAACTAAAAAACACAAGCGCTTGGCTTTCCCGTCACACGCTGCGTATGCGTAATAAATATTTATGCACTCGAATGTTTGGCGAAGCCTTCAGAAAGTCAGTTGAAAATGTTTGTATATCTGTTCTTCCATAGCAAAATCACAGAGTTCGTTTGGGGGGATTCAGTTTCAGATTCGAATTTGGCAGAATGTTTGCACTGCAACCCGCAGTCGTGTCAAGTTGGCAGTTAGAGTGTCAACCTAATGATGCAATTACCCACAGTTACACAGGCACGCATTCTGGATTTAAACCCCCCCTTTTTCCCGCTCGACCAAAGCCACAAAAATTGTGCACCAAGACGGGCCAAGTGCACGTCTATTTTACTCTCCAGACAAGTATTTATTTAAGCCCTGAACATATATACCCGTCGTCTGTTTGCATTGTGTATGAGCAACACAGATGCCCACGTCCAGAATCTTGGACAGCAATTGCCTCCGTGTTCTCTGCTCTGGTTTTTATTACCGCCCAATGTGCAAGGTCTGTTGAGACTTTTGATTTACAGTCCGGTAATTAGAAGAAGATTTTCAGATGTCTATCAATCTGAAAAATTGTTGCTTCCTAATTTATGAGATTTTTAATTTTCCAACTTGGCATGACTGGATAGATTTCTATCAAATTATTTAGTCAATAAAATACTGCGTTTCTGATTTTTCCGATTTTTGATTTGCTTCTGTTTTGTAGGAATTTCAATTCGTAATATTTGTAAGTCAATCAAATCTTTGCATCAATTATTATTGTTTCCACTCATAAATTTAAATATTCGTATTTCAAAATGAATTTTCCAACTTTGAGAATAATTATATTTTACCCCATTTCATTTCGATATAAATTTAAAAAGTCTCACTTAAATTTCTTTCTCAATCAAATTTATATAACATTTAATTCTCATTAAAACGCTTCTAATTTTATAAATTTTAGAAGGAAAAAAATTTTATTTTCCGTTTGGTTTTAATGTGCAATCTATGATTTCTAATTTAAATTCAGAAATCTTTAAAATTTAAATAAAAAGTTGCATTGGACAGTAATCAAAAATTCATTTTATAATTGCTCCCATTTCCAAAGACGTTTTTACCACAAATAAACGTTAAACTTAAAAGATCTTAGATTTCAACAGAGCCCACTGGCAAAACTTTGAATATCATTTCGTAATTGATGCACCGAAAGTATTTCAATTAAGTAAGTTGCTTGCTCTACTCTACAACAAACACACACATGCACTCTGGCAAATAAGCTGGGAAATTCAATTAAGAATGGCAAATAAAAAGTTGGCTGCATTAATTTCATTAGCAGAAAGAGACAACAGCGACGAGGACGATTGCGAGTAACGGCGACGAGATCGAGATATATATAGGTATATATGTATATATATACAGGACGACAGTTTCCGACGTTGTCGACGTGAATGAATGAATGAATGAGTGGCCAACAGGCAAAACTGGCTTAAAAACTGACTGACGAACCGACTGAAAGACGGTTTTGAATGTGCGTGCTATCCTTGTGACGTCCTCCGAGCGACTGAAAGTGCCAGTGGTGCCACAAGAGGCACAGTGGCACAGCATCGCCACATCACCACATCACCAGACCAGCCACATCACCAGCCATCCTCGTCCGCTGGAGTCGCTGATGACGGGCAAACGTCAAACCAAGGCGGAAATAGTGCCTGTAAGTAGGCAGCACAACACGCCACTCAAGCGGTCCAGTGGTTGTCGGCCGTCTATTTATACAGGTCCCTATATGTGTGTGCCAGCTGTCTGTCGCTTTGTTGGTCAAGCACTGCGAGAAATCAAATCTAAATCTCCTAAAAAATGTGTAGTTCAAACCCCTACAGACTTAGCCTGCGAAAGAGGAATTTTGAGCCTTCAACAATTGCTTTAAAAATAAATTTGATTGATTAACATTGCCAATTAAACTAAAAACAAGTATTATATGAACCTTACTTTGTAAACTACTTTGAACCTTACTTTGTAAACTAGTAAAGGTACATTTATTGTATTTCAACTTATTTCCTACAGAAAATAAAATCTCTACATAAGTAGAGATTTTAAAACAATTAGTAATAGAAGTACTCAAAGATTTGTTTTCATAAACTCTGAACCAAATTAAACTAAATAAACTTAATTAATAAGCACTCAGAAATCCTTTTAAACTCTTTATTTTTCCCAGTGAAGCGTTATAAATAGCGGCAACACTTTGCTTTGTCTTGATTAACATGAGCATTCCCTCAGCTTTTTCATATAAGCATTCATATACACATTATTATTAAGCGCAACAGGAGGATGTTGACGAGGGGTGGATGGCAAAGGGAAAAGGGGAAAGGCGAAAAGGGAAAGGGAAAGAGACAGCATTTCCGTTCAGGTTTGCCACCGAACGAGCTAGAGTCCTGACACAAACGCCGCTGGCATGTCAATAATGTTGAAATGTAACTCACACCACCGTGCCACGCCCCCCGCCCGGAGCATACAGCACCGCCCACCCGGGGCGTGTCATGCGCCCTGTGTGCCCGATGAAGCGTATGCGGCTGCTGAGCTGTTCATCAGTATGCTTCACTGGCCCCGCAAGTCCTGCAAAACATAACCCGCCCAATGCTCTTCCCCTTTCCCCTCACTTTGAGGCTGTGGTTAACAGGAGCGTTAATAAAATGTACCATGGTCAGCGCATACCTTTGACCACCGCCAAAAGCACACACTGGCCACAAAGGCCTACGCGGCGTATGCGCGATATTAATGTCACACCAACTTTAAAGCCCAAAGTTAAACAGAAAACTTTGCTGCAAGGCTTCCGCCCGCAAATAGACATCAAAGCATAAAAATACAGACCAACAGATCGATGGAAAAACCAGTGGGTGGTCGGGGGCGGAAAAGCGTGGGAGGCGGTGGGCGTGGCCAGTAGCTATTTGCGTGCCTTTCGCCTCAGTTGAGGTTGGAGCTTAAAGCAATTTCGCTGGCTTCACTGGGCAATCAATGCGGCCAAAGTTGGCCCTGGCAGCCAGACATTAATAGTTAGACAATGGCCTAAAACTATAATTTATCTAACACTATATACGTATTTATATAGGGAACTGAAAGAAAATTCACGGAAAATTACGTACTTTTCTAATGAAAAACTATATATTTTATGTACAAAGAATCCCCTAAAAATTTAATCTGATCAATTATTTAAAGCTTAGCATTTGAGCAATGTATTACTGCAAAACCATAACTACAAAATATAATTATTTAATGAAAACAATTAAGCTTAGATTACATACAACCACAGAATCTCTTAGTTTTATAATCAAAACTATATTTTTGTATCTAAAGAATATCCTAAAATAATATAATCAAAGGAAGAAAAATTTGAAACTAAGTATTTAAAAAATTGATGTTCTTTAACGTGTTTTTTCCATTATATAATTGTTTTCACTTTAGCCAAAGTTGCGTAACTCTTCAACCGAGATTCATATTTTTCATAATTTACTTAAGAAAAATGACTTATTTAAAGGAAATGAACTTTTCCTTTTATGTTCCCCCATTTTCTAAGAACTCGCATGAATATAACATTTCTGCATTAATATTTGTGTTCTTAAATCAGGCTCAAGGCTCTTTAATCGACATGTTGTATGCCCCAAGCTAGTTAGTAAGCCATGAATGTCTGACTGTGAGTGAAAGGATTGGCAGCTGCAAGTTGGCACAGCTCTTCGGTCTGCTGTGTGCACAATTAATAGATTTTTAATGACACGAGCAGCTTGCCCCATTTCGTTTTCCACTAGCCTCGCCTGCCACTTGACATGGCATCCTCGTCGTGGTCCTGGTACTCCTCCTCCTCTTCCTCGTCCTGGTCCACCTCCACCTCCTGTTCATCCTCCTCCCTCGAGGACTGCGTGTTTGATTAACCGGAAGATAAACACGCAAAAGGAAGCTGTGAACAAAAGCCCCCAGACAGAGACGGCCAACTAAATGGGGCAGGAGCTGGAGCTGTAGCAAATTGAACTCTGCTGAAGCTTCATCACCATCATTATTTAATTTGGTATTTTGTATGCTCGTTGTGGGAGCCAAAGATTTATGGCCATATGCGTGGTCCTGGCTAATTATCTAAACACGTGCCAAAGGAAAACCCCAAAGAAGGGCAAATCATCCGCTCCACGAGGAAACTTTTCAATTTGTGGCAGCCAAATAAATCTTGATTTCCCCCGACCACTCATAACAAAAAAAAAAAAAAAGAAAAATTGACCAGAATTGTCGGGGGAATTACAGCAGCAGATTGTCTATATGTCGAACCAAACTGACATTGCTGACGTCAGTGATTTGCAGCCACTACGCAGCAGTTCCCAGCAAATTGCATGACGGGAATAAAACACAAACTGGGCAAAAAAAAGTGCAGGGGAAAAAGTAAAAATATCCCAGGCAAGAATTCTACAACACGCAGCGGAAAATGCAAAAAGGTCGGGGCAGTTGGGCCAAGAAAAAGTTGACAGGACACGCAATCGAATGTCTTTGGATTAAATAAAAAACCAGCCGTTCAAATAAAATAAAACTCCACTTACCATCGGCATCCTGTGAGTTGACGCTCAGCTGGTCATCGGTACTTATATCTGTGTGCCCTCCACTTGGACGTTCGGATTGGAGTTTGGTGAAGTATTCCACGGCATAGTCGATCACATCCGGGGGCTGTTCCACCAGGAAGGAGATCGAGAACTGCAACAGGACCTCCTTCAGCTCATCGGGCACCTGGATCTTTCGACTCGAATCACTTGACATGTTTGTGCTGTAATTGCAAAGAAACAGGGAAATTGGATTGATTATGATTTTACCCAAGGGTAAACTAAATTCAATTTCGATGAACAGTTTGAATGGGAACTTGAATGATATAAAAGTATACATTCTTTCAATGATAATACACATTATTATAATACTACAATATAAATACTATCAATCAAAGAGTAATTCATTGTAATAGTCAGCAACAATCATAATTGTTATTGCATTCCAACTTAATCGTTTACCCCTCAAGATATCACTCGCTTATTTCATCTACTGATTTGGATTGAAATTGGAAAATGCTGAAAATAATGCCAACCACCGTCCCACATTTCCCCCACTTAATTCACTGGAATACATGAACTGCAATGGGACACCAGTAAGTGTCCAGAGTTCAGCAATGAGGGGCAGGGGCATCGGGGGCATTAGGGGCATCTGGTTTTCAGGGTTTCAGGGGGAGGTACGACATTGGATGAAATTCCGAGTTTAACCTGCGGCCAACGGTCACCTGCTGGCTGTCGGTCATTTAGTTGGCAATTACCAACCCGCTGCCCCTGTTCCCACATCGCTGTTTTTGTCATCACCCATCCATCAGTCAAGCAAACCCAACTCGGCTCATGATTCAACATTCAACATTGCACAATTTGAGATTTTGGTCTGGTTCGGTCGTTCGGCGAAAACGACAGACGTGAGATTCATGTTAAATTTCTGCGCTACCCAAAAACGAGCTGCGACAAATATAATATAATTTACGAGTAATTCACTTTTCACTTGGGTTTCTTATTTTTATAGAAATTGATTTCGATGCCATTGTCTTTTCGTTTCGCAGTAAAAAGACTACATGATGTCACAAATGCTGATGCATTTAAAAACGTGCTTATAAAACACTTTCGGACAGAACAGATAACGAATTGTTATTGTTTGGATGGCTGGAGCTATCTATGATTAATGTGGAATAAATTAATTGGTAAACAAAACGCTTGAAAGATATGTACCTAAACAAATATTTTTTATTAAATGCAAATTAAAGCAAATTTATTAACGCACCCTTACTTTATACACTAAAATTGTTATTCTGCTGCATAATCTTAATTAAATAGGCACTTAAAGGGCTTTAATAAAAGTTCAAAAACATTCATGCTTGCGCATAGCTTCTTAAATAATTTGTAACCCATAAAATTAACATTAAGCTACTTGTAAATCAACTAAATATTTGAAAAGCTGAAGCTAAAGATATGCCTCTGCATATCTGAATTATGTATTTTGGAATATCTTTTTTCAACCCTTCTGGCATTAACTTCCATACTCCTCCCTTTTTTACATTTTTCGCCTAGAAGAACAACCAAATGTTTAAAAAGCTAAACTAAAGATTTTCCTGCCTCTGCATATATAAATTATGTATTTTAGACCCTCCTTTTCAAACCCTCTGGTATTATCCTCCATACTCCTCCCTTTATTCGTAGAAAATCAACAGAGAGCTTAATTTTTGAGCATCAGCATAAATATTTATAAGTTTCCGTCAAATGTACGTAATTATGTAAATTGCGTATTGAGACTTTGTGCGTGGGGATAGAATAATTTTGTTGAGGCATTTTACAAACTTCTTCTACCCGCAACATTTCATTTGCCCTAATTTGAAAATTAATTCTTGGCAGGCAACAAGACTGCAGGATATTGTTCCTGTTCACTGTTGTTTTTGCCAAACTTTTTCAATTAAGTTCATTAATATTCAACTTTCCCTTGCGGCCTCCTGGCGGAACAAATAAATATTTAAAACTAATAAAGGTTTACCACGCCCCCGTTTGCGATGAAAATGTAATCGAAAAGTCTCTCAACTCAATAACCAATTGGGCGTTTAAGTGCTCCCACTGATTGGCCCGGCCAAAAGCCGACTGCTGACTATCGACTGCTGACTGTTTTTCTGTTGCTTTTCGTCTGGCTGAGAGAACATTAGACATTAGGCGGTGCGATTGCAATTAGAGTGGGTCAAGGTGGTTCACTCAACGCACTGCAACCACACGAATGGCAATTGCACAAACATCTGAGAAAACTATAAATAGTCCGGCGGCTCAAGTAATAAGAGGCTGAATGAAATGCCCACCTCCGTCTCCCCTTCCACTTTCCCCATTTTCCACCCATCAGTCAAGGATTTAGGTGCGGGCTGGCCACAGAAACGAAAAAAAAACAGCTAGAAAAAGAAACGGAGAGCACACAAAAAAGAAAAGTTAAACCATTTTCATTTCCTCACAATTTCCGCAGTTGCCGGAGAACGAAAGTATAACTGCACAACCATTTCGCCGACAGTTATAGACGCTATATATCTACACACTCGTAAAGTAGGTAAAGTCAGCTGTCTCCGAATTTAATACCCAAACCAACGAAAGTAAGCTAATTTTGACGACTGCAGGTAGCTAAGTTCGGTTGAGCAAAGCTGATTAAATTTTATAGAAATTGGAAAACTTGATTATGGTTAGGGGACTTTATTTTTACTTTTATTTTTAATAATCACCTTTGACTGAATTGGGTGTTGCTACACAGAGGAAAACAAATTGGACATGGCTATATCCACACGCCTAGTGATGCTGATCAAGAATATATAAACTTATTAGGGTTGGAAGTGTCTCCTATGATCCTATTGACCAAATCCCTTGGAAATAATGGTCAAATCTTGAAATGTCACACCTCGTTGAATTTGTTATAAAATTTCCAATCGAGTGGCATTCACAGCTAAAAAATTTTATTTTGGCCGATTTTTCGCAAAAAATGATAATGTAACCCCTTATGAAAATTTTCTCGGTTTTTTGTTCAAAACCCTGGGAAATAATTGTCACATGTTGGAATGGTATACCTTGTTGAATTCGTTATAAAATTTTCAATCGAGTGGCATTCACAGCTCAAAATTTTCATTTTGGTCGGTTTTTCGCCAAAATAGACGATGTAATCCCTTGGAAATAATGGTCAAATCTTGAAATGTCACACCTCGTTGAATTTGTTATAAAATTTCCAATCGAGTGGCATTCACAGCTAAAAAATTTTATTTTTATCAAAAATGCTTAAATCCGGAGATCCGGAAAAATCAACTTTTTTCTCGGTTTTTTAATCAAAACCTTGGGAAATAATGGTCTCACGTTGGAATGGCATACCTTGTTGAATTCGTTATAAAATTTCCAATCGAGTGGCATTCACAGCTCAAAATTTTCATTTTGGTCGGTTTTTCGCCAAAATAGACGATGTAACCCCTTATCAAAAATGCTGAAATCCGGAGGTCCGGAAAAATCAACTTTTTTATCGGTTTTTTGATCAAAAACCTGGGAAATAATGGGCACATGTTGGAATGGCATACCTTGTTGAATTCGTTATAAAATTTCTAATCGAGTGGCATTCACAGCTCAAATTTTTCATTTTGGTCGGTTTTTCGCCAAAATAGACGATGTAACCCCTTATCAAAAATGCTGAAATCCGGAGGTCCGGAAAAATCAACTTTTTTATCGGTTTTTTTATCAAAACCCTGGGAAATAATAGGCACTTTTATTTCCTTTTTTGATCAAAACCCTTGGAAAAAATGGATTCCTGTTGGAATGTCATACCTTGTTGAATTCGTTATAAAATTTCCAATCGAGTGGCATTCACAGCTCAAAAATTTTAATTTGGTCGATTTTTCGTCAAAATTGATATTGTAACCCCTTATAAAAAATACGGAAATCGGTAAAAAAATATTTTTTCCCAAATCAACCAGAAATCGATAGTTTTCGTCCTCACTTGTACAAAACAGTGACTATTTTGGCTGAGCGTCTTATTTTGGCGAATTTAGAGCAAAAACACCCGCAAGAACCTAAAAAAAACAACTGGGATCGATCGCTTGGGTCTGAAAAAATAGTTGGCAAGAACTCGGCTTAGTTTTACAATGCAATCTCTATGTTAAAGGCAAATTCTTAAACGTATTTTCCCGGTGTATCTAATCTATGTTTTCGTTGATTATGAAAAGTAAAAAATTTTATCCAAAGCTACAAGCAATTTCAATTTCTTTTATTTCTAATAAAAACGGCTGATGGGAATTTGCCTCGCTATCTATGAATATCTTTTGCCATTGCTGCAGCTGTTTTATGTTGGCATTTCCATTAACATTTTCATTTATATTCGCGTTTTGCACTCGCGTTCCCATTCCCCTAATGGAATTTCCCGGGTTTCGGTCCACGTCTCTATCCGCTGGCCACTATCGTCATTATCGTCATTATCATTATCATCAACGGTGGCAGCATGCAGCGCTTTTATGGGATTAAGGCTGACTAATTTCGCCACCATCCTGCAGCACCCTCTTGCAACCTCTCTTGCAACCTCTGGCAACCTCCACATGGTAAACTGTTGCACCCACAGGAGCCCCAGATCCTCCCTCCGGAGGGCCATCAAAATGATTACGGCTTGGCTATGCGTGGCGAGTTAACCATGTGCATATGACTTCCATTTTAATGTCATTTTTACTGCAGCTGCAGGTGGTGGTGAAATGTGAAAGCACCCAGCCGCATGACCACCCACCACCCACTGTGGGTGGAATGTATCCTCTGGATACCTGACCTTTCACCCCTGCCCGTATGTTTGCGCTTTTACAAAATTGCGGAATTGAGTTTTCCGCTTGCAACGAAATTGAATCCAACTTTAAAATTGCATTTACATTCGGAATCTCGTTTTTGCTCTCGAATTGGTGCAGTTATACAATGGGGTTTTTACTGATTTATAAGAGGTTTTAAGAAATACTAATAATCCCTCTTACTATATTACTTAAATGTAAAACGTAATCCTTTAATTGGGAAAATTGTCTATCTGATAAAAAAAGGTTTTTAAACACAATGTTTCTGAAAGATTAAAACTAATAATTGGTTTAAACTATTTATATACCTTTTATTTTAAAATAGGTTATGGTGTGATATTTTACTGACATAAAGAACTTCTTTGTTTAGTATTATATTTTTTTTGGAAAATTTTTATATTCATCGATATTTTAATATCACA